TATCACTGAGTCATTGCCATCTGCAGAATCTGAACCTTTTGAAATTGAGGTGGAGATTGCCGAAGGCACAATCGAAGTGGAAGATGAAGGCATCGAAACGTTGGAGGAAGTGGCTTCTGCCAAGCAGTCCATAAAGTACATTCAGAGCACAGGTTCCTCTGATGATTCCGCTCTGGCATTGTTGGCAGATATTACCAGCAAGTACCGCCAAGGCGATAGAAAAGGGCAGATTAAAGATGAAGACGGCTGTGCATCTGACCCCACAAGCAAACAGGTAGAAGGAACACATGAAATCACACTCCACTGAGAGTTTCAAGTGTGAAATATGCAATAAAATGTATCTTCGGGAGAGCGCGTGGAAACAGCACCTCAGTTGTTACCACCTGGAAGAAGGTGGAGTCAGTAAGAAGCAGAGAACTGGGAAAAAAATACACATATGTCAGTACTGTGAGAAGCAGTTTGACCACTTTGGACATTTTAAAGAGCATCTTCGAAAACATACAGGTGAAAAACCTTTTGAATGTCCAAATTGTCATGAACGATTTGCTAGAAATAGTAGCCTCAAATGTCACTTGACTGCATGCCAAACTGGAGTGGGAGCAAAAAAGGGGAGAAAGAAGCTCTATGAATGTCAGGTCTGTAATAGTGTGTTTCACAGCTGGGACCAGTTCAAAGATCACCTGGTGATACACACTGGAGATAAACCCAACCATTGTACTCTGTGTGACTTGTGGTTTATGCAAGGAAATGAATTAAGGAGGCATCTCAGTGATACTCATAATATTTCAGAGCGCCTGGTAACTGAAGAAGTTCTTTCAGTAGAAACACGTGTGCAAACTGAACCTGTGACGTCAATGACTATTATAGAACAAGTTTGGAAGGTGCATGTGTTACCACTGCTCCAGGTTCAGGTGGACTCAGCACAAGTGACTGTGGAACAGGTCCATCCAGATCTGCTCCAGGACAGCCAAGTGCACGAGTCGCACATAAGTGAGCTTCCAGAGCAGGTCCAGGTAAGTTATCTAGAAGTGGGGCGAATTCAGACTGAAGAAGGTACTGAAGTCCATGTAGAGGAGCTGCATGTTGAACGGGTAAATCAGATGCCAGTGGAAGTACAAACTGAGCTTCTAGAAGCAGACTTGGATCAAGTGACCCCTGAAATCATGAACCAAGAGGAGAGAGAGCCTACCCAGGCAGATGCTGCTGAGGCTGCTACAGAAGAACACGAAGATGCTGAGGCTTTAGAGACCAAATCAACAGTGGATTCCCAAGCCGAAAAGGCAGGAAATGAGAACAGAACACCTATGCCAGTTTTAGAATGAAATAACAAATGCATATATTTTTAAAGTTATCTGTTGGGTTTTTCAACTGATGATGGGCAGTGTGACTGTCCTTACGCTAACAGACATGCGGACCAAAGTTAAACTTTCCTGGTGTGCTGAACCGTTTCTATGGAAGCAGACTGATTTCCCCCCACTTTGCCACAGAGGAGGGAACTTTCCCATAAGTGAATGGGAAGCTTTGAGAAGTATATTTCTAGAAAACTTAAAATGGATTACATTCTTATTATATAGTTGGGTACGAATGTATATTTTCATTGTGGTAAGAGTTCTTACTCTCCTTCCCTGGACATGTCCTTCTTCAAGTCCCCTCCCCCCCCCCGCCCCATGTTGTAAAATCAAATGTAAAATCATTAGAATACAAGTTTATGTATTCTAATGCATGTTAGAAAATTTGAATATATAGGAAACAAGACTGCATGAAGAAAAGTGCATTGTTACTGTGCAGTTAAATTTTGGCTTCTGGCTTCCTTTAGCTTGAACAACATCCTTGTCTGCCCTGATGGATAGTAATAGATGTCATCTCTGCAACAGAAACAGAATGGTGGTGGCGAATTTCTAGAATGTTTAAAAAAAACACACACACACCCATGTGCCTTTTCAAAACCAACTAAACTTCTATAAAGCATCTCTAGTTCTTTCAAAATTTGTGTTGTAAGCAGTGTAGGTGATGCTGTAGTACTTTACATTTTTTTGCCTATAATGACAGCTACCAATTCTTTTTCACTTAGATTGAAAAATTTCATTTAATGGCAGCTGAAGGGCCATTTTCAATTGGGAAAATTCATGTATATCTGTGGTAAACTTTATTTTGATAAAAAGTTGCACTAGTAATTTTACCACCAGATGAAAACAAGATGAGCATCATTTAAAAATTAATGTATTTAAAACAAAGTACAGAGAAAAACATGTATATAATATATCAGGCTTTGTTTTGAATGAATCTTTTCCCCCAATCCTTAATATAAAGATCTTGTGCTATAATTTTTAAAGCCATACAAATAAGAATGCTAAACTGTGGACTTAAAAGTAGGTGTGTAAATATTTTTAATCAGTATTACATGGAAAATAAAATATAACAACTACAGAAAATAAACCAATATGCTCTTTTCTTTACCTGTTAAATATTGGGAGATACTTATATTTTTAAAGTAAACTTTAAAATTAAAAAAAAAAAAAGAGGAGGATTCCCTCAGCAATAGGTATGTGGGAAGGACCCCGAGTTTGCTGCCTCAAGTGGAATATACAGCGAGAAGCCCTAACGTGAAAGGAGGCCGGATTTCCTTGCAGTGGCTTGAATACAGGCTCGTCTTTCATCTCACAACATGAAGGGATGTCTGAATCCCCTGTGGAGACCTTAGAGAAAGCCCTAGGTCCCTGCCTCATTTTGACGGAAGGCCTCACATCTCGTTGACACCTCGAGAGGCACGCGGAGTTCACTGCTTCAAAAGGTGAGGATGCCTGACTCCTCTTGAATACTGATAGGAATCCCAAAATCCCTGTGGCTACAGGAAAGGGTCCTTGGGGGCCCTGCCTCACCTCGAGAAGCGTCCCTTTTGCCTGGCCAAGCCTCGAAGAGATTCGTGAGGTGTCCCTCGTTACTAGACAGGAGTCCTGACGTCACTGAATAAACACGTGTTTTGAAGGGCCATCCCCGCCGTAACTCGAGAACATACCCCAGGTCCCCGCCGCAACTCGAGAAAAACCATGAGACTTCACCTTAGATGCGATATGAGGCCCGATTCCACTGCATTGCTTGCAGAGCAATTCCGTGATCCCCATTAAACAAGTCAGGAGCTTCGACTTGCTTAATGGATCTCGAGAGAGTCCCCAAGTACACTGTCACAAGTCTAGACGGATCCTGAGGTCACCCCAGCAACGCACAGCAGCTCCATGTGCCCCAAATCAACTCGAGATGAGGCCCGATTCCCCTGCATTGACTCCAGAGCCATCCCCCGTTCCACATTCAACACGACCAGTCGCTTGACTTCCTTCAGGAACTCCAGAGATGCCCAGAGAACACTGTTCCAAGTCTAGAGGAACACCAACTTCAGCACAGCAACTCGAGGAATGCTCCGTGTACCCCAAATCGTCTCGAGATGAGAGCTGATTTCCTGGCTTTGGCTCAAGACGTATGCCAACTCTCCAGAAGCACCTCAAGAGTAGGCTTCTCTCAGAAATAGGTGTGTGTGACGGACCCCGAGGTTGCTGCCTCAAGGGGAATATACAGCGAGAAGCCCTAACTTGAAAGGAGGCCGGATTTCCTTGCAGTGGCTTGAATACAGGCTCATCTTTCATCTCACAACATGAAAGGATGTCTGAATCCCTTGTGGAGACCTTAGAGAAAGCTCTAGGCCCGTGCCTCATTTTGACGGAATGCCTCACATCCCGTTGACACCTCGAGAGGCAGGCGGAGTTCACTGCTTCAAAAGGTGACGATGCCTGACTCCTCTTGAATACTGATAGGAATCCCAAAATCCCTGTGGCTACTGGAAAGGGTCCTTGGGTGCCCTGCCTCACCTCGAGAAGCATCGCTTTTGCCCTGGCAAGCCTCGAAGAGATTCCGGAGGTGTCCCTCGTTACTAGACAGGAGTCCTGACGTCAGTGAATAAACACGTATTTTGAAGGGCCATCCCCGCCCTAACTCGAGAACATACCCAAGTTCCCTGCCGCAAATCGAGAAAAACCTTGAGACTTCCCCCTAGAGGCGAGATGAGGCCCCATTCCCCTGCAGTGCATGCAGAGCTATTCCGTGATCCCCATCAAACAAGTCAGGAGCTTCGACTTGCTTAATGGATCTCGAGACAGTCCCCAAGTACACTGTCACAAGTCTACACGGACCCTGAGGTCACCCCAGCAACGCACAGCAGCTCCACGTGCCCCAAATCAACTCGAGATGAGGCCCGATTCCCCTGCCTTGACTCCAGAGCCATCCCCCGTTCCCCATTCAACACGACCAGTGGCTTGACTTCCTTCAGGTAACTCCAGAGATGCCCCGAGAACACTGTCCCAAGTCTAGAGGAACACCAACTTCAGCACAGCAACTCGAGGAATGCTCCGTGTACCCCAAATCGTCTCGAGATGAGAGCTGATTCCCTGGCTTAGTATCAAGACGTATGCCAACTCTCCAGAAGCACCTCAAGAGGAGGCCTCTCGTTCCCTGCGTGAGTGCCGGCCCGGTCCGGTCGGGGGAGAGGAGGGAGGGCGGGGGAGGGAGAGGCGACCCGGGAGTCGTTGTGGGCCGTGGGCCGGACCTGGTCCCGGGAAGGCGGGAGCCAGGGCCGGGCCGAGGGGCTTGGCGGGCCGTTAGCGGGCCGCGCCGGCTGTAGGGTCTCCTCCCCTGCCGGACTTGCGCGCCCCGGCGCTAGGAGCGTCCGGTGCTGTGCCCACCCCGCTCCAGCTCGCGTCTCCTGACTCCAGTTAGGTCAGGCTCGGAGTCCCGTGGCCGCGGCTCTGGCCCCCAACGCGCGGCGGCCGCCCGGCTCGCCTTTCTTTCTTCCCTCGCCTTCCTCTCCTCTTGCCTCACCCTCCCCCTTTCTTTCACGTTGCTGGGGTTTTGCTTTTTTTGTTGTTATTTTGTGCTTTAGGGGTTTTGTTCCTCAGCCCGAGCTCATGGGTGTACATTATCATGCTCCTCTTTTGTAGAGCAACCGGACGGCCATGGAGGCCGAAGAGACGATGGAATGCCTTCAGGAGTTCCCTGAACATCATAAAATGATCCTGGACCGATTGAATGAACAGCGAGAGCAGGACCGGTTTACTGACATCACCCTGATTGTCGACGGACACCATTTTAAGGCCCACAAGGCTGTTTTGGCTGCTTGCAGCAAGTTCTTCTATAAATTCTTTCAGGAGTTTACTCAGGAACCTTTGGTGGAGATAGAAGGTGTTAGTAAAATGGCCTTTCGTCGTTTGATTGAGTTCACATATACAGCAAAGTTAATGATACAAGGAGAAGAAGAAGCCAATGATGTATGGAAATCAGCAGAGTTTCTACAGATGCTAGAAGCTATCAAAGCCCTTGAAGTCAGAAACAAAGAAAACTCAGCTCCACTAGAGGAAAATACCACAGGGAAAAATGAAGCAAAAAAAGAAAGATTGCAGAAACTTCAAATGTTATCACTGAGTCATTGCCATCTGCAGAATCTGAACCTTTTGAAATTGAGGTGGAGATTGCCGAAGGCACAATCGAAGTGGAAGATGAAGGCATCGAAACGTTGGAGGAAGTGGCTTCTGCCAAGCAGTCCATAAAGTACATTCAGAGCACAGGTTCCTCTGATGATTCCGCTCTGGCATTGTTGGCAGATATTACCAGCAAGTACCGCCAAGGCGATAGAAAAGGGCAGATTAAAGATGAAGACGGCTGTGCATCTGACCCCACAAGCAAACAGGTAGAAGGAACACATGAAATCACACTCCACTGAGAGTTTCAAGTGTGAAATATGCAATAAAATGTATCTTCGGGAGAGCGCGTGGAAACAGCACCTCAGTTGTTACCACCTGGAAGAAGGTGGAGTCAGTAAGAAGCAGAGAACTGGGAAAAAAATACACATATGTCAGTACTGTGAGAAGCAGTTTGACCACTTTGGACATTTTAAAGAGCATCTTCGAAAACATACAGGTGAAAAACCTTTTGAATGTCCAAATTGTCATGAACGATTTGCTAGAAATAGTAGCCTCAAATGTCACTTGACTGCATGCCAAACTGGAGTGGGAGCAAAAAAGGGGAGAAAGAAGCTCTATGAATGTCAGGTCTGTAATAGTGTGTTTCACAGCTGGGACCAGTTCAAAGATCACCTGGTGATACACACTGGAGATAAACCCAACCATTGTACTCTGTGTGACTTGTGGTTTATGCAAGGAAATGAATTAAGGAGGCATCTCAGTGATACTCATAATATTTCAGAGCGCCTGGTAACTGAAGAAGTTCTTTCAGTAGAAACACGTGTGCAAACTGAACCTGTGACGTCAATGACTATTATAGAACAAGTTTGGAAGGTGCATGTGTTACCACTGCTCCAGGTTCAGGTGGACTCAGCACAAGTGACTGTGGAACAGGTCCATCCAGATCTGCTCCAGGACAGCCAAGTGCACGAGTCGCACATAAGTGAGCTTCCAGAGCAGGTCCAGGTAAGTTATCTAGAAGTGGGGCGAATTCAGACTGAAGAAGGTACTGAAGTCCATGTAGAGGAGCTGCATGTTGAACGGGTAAATCAGATGCCAGTGGAAGTACAAACTGAGCTTCTAGAAGCAGACTTGGATCAAGTGACCCCTGAAATCATGAACCAAGAGGAGAGAGAGCCTACCCAGGCAGATGCTGCTGAGGCTGCTACAGAAGAACACGAAGATGCTGAGGCTTTAGAGACCAAATCAACAGTGGATTCCCAAGCCGAAAAGGCAGGAAATGAGAACAGAACACCTATGCCAGTTTTAGAATGAAATAACAAATGCATATATTTTTAAAGTTATCTGTTGGGTTTTTCAACTGATGATGGGCAGTGTGACTGTCCTTACGCTAACAGACATGCGGACCAAAGTTAAACTTTCCTGGTGTGCTGAACCGTTTCTATGGAAGCAGACTGATTTCCCCCCACTTTGCCACAGAGGAGGGAACTTTCCCATAAGTGAATGGGAAGCTTTGAGAAGTATATTTCTAGAAAACTTAAAATGGATTACATTCTTATTATATAGTTGGGTACGAATGTATATTTTCATTGTGGTAAGAGTTCTTACTCTCCTTCCCTGGACATGTCCTTCTTCAAGTCCCCTCCCCCCCCCCGCCCCATGTTGTAAAATCAAATGTAAAATCATTAGAATACAAGTTTATGTATTCTAATGCATGTTAGAAAATTTGAATATATAGGAAACAAGACTGCATGAAGAAAAGTGCATTGTTACTGTGCAGTTAAATTTTGGCTTCTGGCTTCCTTTAGCTTGAACAACATCCTTGTCTGCCCTGATGGATAGTAATAGATGTCATCTCTGCAACAGAAACAGAATGGTGGTGGCGAATTTCTAGAATGTTTAAAAAAAACACACACACACCCATGTGCCTTTTCAAAACCAACTAAACTTCTATAAAGCATCTCTAGTTCTTTCAAAATTTGTGTTGTAAGCAGTGTAGGTGATGCTGTAGTACTTTACATTTTTTTGCCTATAATGACAGCTACCAATTCTTTTTCACTTAGATTGAAAAATTTCATTTAATGGCAGCTGAAGGGCCATTTTCAATTGGGAAAATTCATGTATATCTGTGGTAAACTTTATTTTGATAAAAAGTTGCACTAGTAATTTTACCACCAGATGAAAACAAGATGAGCATCATTTAAAAATTAATGTATTTAAAACAAAGTACAGAGAAAAACATGTATATAATATATCAGGCTTTGTTTTGAATGAATCTTTTCCCCCAATCCTTAATATAAAGATCTTGTGCTATAATTTTTAAAGCCATACAAATAAGAATGCTAAACTGTGGACTTAAAAGTAGGTGTGTAAATATTTTTAATCAGTATTACATGGAAAATAAAATATAACAACTACAGAAAATAAACCAATATGCTCTTTTCTTTACCTGTTAAATATTGGGAGATACTTATATTTTTAAAGTAAACTTTAAAATTAAAAAAAAAAAAAGAGGAGGATTCCCTCAGCAATAGGTATGTGGGAAGGACCCCGAGTTTGCTGCCTCAAGTGGAATATACAGCGAGAAGCCCTAACGTGAAAGGAGGCCGGATTTCCTTGCAGTGGCTTGAATACAGGCTCGTCTTTCATCTCACAACATGAAGGGATGTCTGAATCCCCTGTGGAGACCTTAGAGAAAGCCCTAGGTCCCTGCCTCATTTTGACGGAAGGCCTCACATCTCGTTGACACCTCGAGAGGCACGCGGAGTTCACTGCTTCAAAAGGTGAGGATGCCTGACTCCTCTTGAATACTGATAGGAATCCCAAAATCCCTGTGGCTACAGGAAAGGGTCCTTGGGGGCCCTGCCTCACCTCGAGAAGCGTCCCTTTTGCCTGGCCAAGCCTCGAAGAGATTCGTGAGGTGTCCCTCGTTACTAGACAGGAGTCCTGACGTCACTGAATAAACACGTGTTTTGAAGGGCCATCCCCGCCGTAACTCGAGAACATACCCCAGGTCCCCGCCGCAACTCGAGAAAAACCATGAGACTTCACCTTAGATGCGATATGAGGCCCGATTCCACTGCATTGCTTGCAGAGCAATTCCGTGATCCCCATTAAACAAGTCAGGAGCTTCGACTTGCTTAATGGATCTCGAGAGAGTCCCCAAGTACACTGTCACAAGTCTAGACGGATCCTGAGGTCACCCCAGCAACGCACAGCAGCTCCATGTGCCCCAAATCAACTCGAGATGAGGCCCGATTCCCCTGCATTGACTCCAGAGCCATCCCCCGTTCCACATTCAACACGACCAGTCGCTTGACTTCCTTCAGGAACTCCAGAGATGCCCAGAGAACACTGTTCCAAGTCTAGAGGAACACCAACTTCAGCACAGCAACTCGAGGAATGCTCCGTGTACCCCAAATCGTCTCGAGATGAGAGCTGATTTCCTGGCTTTGGCTCAAGACGTATGCCAACTCTCCAGAAGCACCTCAAGAGTAGGCTTCTCTCAGAAATAGGTGTGTGTGACGGACCCCGAGGTTGCTGCCTCAAGGGGAATATACAGCGAGAAGCCCTAACTTGAAAGGAGGCCGGATTTCCTTGCAGTGGCTTGAATACAGGCTCATCTTTCATCTCACAACATGAAAGGATGTCTGAATCCCTTGTGGAGACCTTAGAGAAAGCTCTAGGCCCGTGCCTCATTTTGACGGAATGCCTCACATCCCGTTGACACCTCGAGAGGCAGGCGGAGTTCACTGCTTCAAAAGGTGACGATGCCTGACTCCTCTTGAATACTGATAGGAATCCCAAAATCCCTGTGGCTACTGGAAAGGGTCCTTGGGTGCCCTGCCTCACCTCGAGAAGCATCGCTTTTGCCCTGGCAAGCCTCGAAGAGATTCCGGAGGTGTCCCTCGTTACTAGACAGGAGTCCTGACGTCAGTGAATAAACACGTATTTTGAAGGGCCATCCCCGCCCTAACTCGAGAACATACCCAAGTTCCCTGCCGCAAATCGAGAAAAACCTTGAGACTTCCCCCTAGAGGCGAGATGAGGCCCCATTCCCCTGCAGTGCATGCAGAGCTATTCCGTGATCCCCATCAAACAAGTCAGGAGCTTCGACTTGCTTAATGGATCTCGAGACAGTCCCCAAGTACACTGTCACAAGTCTACACGGACCCTGAGGTCACCCCAGCAACGCACAGCAGCTCCACGTGCCCCAAATCAACTCGAGATGAGGCCCGATTCCCCTGCCTTGACTCCAGAGCCATCCCCCGTTCCCCATTCAACACGACCAGTGGCTTGACTTCCTTCAGGTAACTCCAGAGATGCCCCGAGAACACTGTCCCAAGTCTAGAGGAACACCAACTTCAGCACAGCAACTCGAGGAATGCTCCGTGTACCCCAAATCGTCTCGAGATGAGAGCTGATTCCCTGGCTTAGTATCAAGACGTATGCCAACTCTCCAGAAGCACCTCAAGAGGAGGCCTCTCGTTCCCTGCGTGAGTGCCGGCCCGGTCGGGTCGGGGGAGAGGAGGGAGGGCGGGGGAGGGAGAGGCGACCCGGGAGTCGTTGTGGGCCGTGGGCCGGACCTGGTCCCGGGAAGGCGGGAGCCAGGGCCGGGCCGAGGGGCTTGGCGGGCCGTTAGCGGGCCGCGCCGGCTGTAGGGTCTCCTCCCCTGCCGGACTTGCGCGCCCCGGCGCTAGGAGCGTCCGGTGCTGTGCCCACCCCGCTCCAGCTCGCGTCTCCTGACTCCAGTTAGGTCAGGCTCGGAGTCCCGTGGCCGCGGCTCTGGCCCCCAACGCGCGGCGGCCGCCCGGCTCGCCTTTCTTTCTTCCCTCGCCTTCCTCTCCTCTTGCCTCACCCTCCCCCTTTCTTTCACGTTGCTGGGGTTTTGCTTTTTTTGTTGTTATTTTGTGCTTTAGGGGTTTTGTTCCTCAGCCCGAGCTCATGGGTGTACATTATCATGCTCCTCTTTTGTAGAGCAACCGGACGGCCATGGAGGCCGAAGAGACGATGGAATGCCTTCAGGAGTTCCCTGAACATCATAAAATGATCCTGGACCGATTGAATGAACAGCGAGAGCAGGACCGGTTTACTGACATCACCCTGATTGTCGACGGACACCATTTTAAGGCCCACAAGGCTGTTTTGGCTGCTTGCAGCAAGTTCTTCTATAAATTCTTTCAGGAGTTTACTCAGGAACCTTTGGTGGAGATAGAAGGTGTTAGTAAAATGGCCTTTCGTCGTTTGATTGAGTTCACATATACAGCAAAGTTAATGATACAAGGAGAAGAAGAAGCCAATGATGTATGGAAATCAGCAGAGTTTCTACAGATGCTAGAAGCTATCAAAGCCCTTGAAGTCAGAAACAAAGAAAACTCAGCTCCACTAGAGGAAAATACCACAGGGAAAAATGAAGCAAAAAAAGAAAGATTGCAGAGACTTCAAATGTTATCACTGAGTCATTGCCATCTGCAGAATCTGAACCTTTTGAAATTGAGGTGGAGATTGCCGAAGGCACAATCGAAGTGGAAGATGAAGGCATCGAAACGTTGGAGGAAGTGGCTTCTGCCAAGCAGTCCATAAAGTACATTCAGAGCACAGGTTCCTCTGATGATTCCGCTCTGGCATTGTTGGCAGATATTACCAGCAAGTACCGCCAAGGCGATAGAAAAGGGCAGATTAAAGATGAAGACGGCTGTGCATCTGACCCCACAAGCAAACAGGTAGAAGGAACACATGAAATCACACTCCACTGAGAGTTTCAAGTGTGAAATATGCAATAAAATGTATCTTCGGGAGAGCGCGTGGAAACAGCACCTCAGTTGTTACCACCTGGAAGAAGGTGGAGTCAGTAAGAAGCAGAGAACTGGGAAAAAAATACACATATGTCAGTACTGTGAGAAGCAGTTTGACCACTTTGGACATTTTAAAGAGCATCTTCGAAAACATACAGGTGAAAAACCTTTTGAATGTCCAAATTGTCATGAACGATTTGCTAGAAATAGTAGCCTCAAATGTCACTTGACTGCATGCCAAACTGGAGTGGGAGCAAAAAAGGGGAGAAAGAAGCTCTATGAATGTCAGGTCTGTAATAGTGTGTTTCACAGCTGGGACCAGTTCAAAGATCACCTGGTGATACACACTGGAGATAAACCCAACCATTGTACTCTGTGTGACTTGTGGTTTATGCAAGGAAATGAATTAAGGAGGCATCTCAGTGATACTCATAATATTTCAGAGCGCCTGGTAACTGAAGAAGTTCTTTCAGTAGAAACACGTGTGCAAACTGAACCTGTGACGTCAATGACTATTATAGAACAAGTTTGGAAGGTGCATGTGTTACCACTGCTCCAGGTTCAGGTGGACTCAGCACAAGTGACTGTGGAACAGGTCCATCCAGATCTGCTCCAGGACAGCCAAGTGCACGAGTCGCACATAAGTGAGCTTCCAGAGCAGGTCCAGGTAAGTTATCTAGAAGTGGGGCGAATTCAGACTGAAGAAGGTACTGAAGTCCATGTAGAGGAGCTGCATGTTGAACGGGTAAATCAGATGCCAGTGGAAGTACAAACTGAGCTTCTAGAAGCAGACTTGGATCAAGTGACCCCTGAAATCATGAACCAAGAGGAGAGAGAGCCTACCCAGGCAGATGCTGCTGAGGCTGCTACAGAAGAACACGAAGATGCTGAGGCTTTAGAGACCAAATCAACAGTGGATTCCCAAGCCGAAAAGGCAGGAAATGAGAACAGAACACCTATGCCAGTTTTAGAATGAAATAACAAATGCATATATTTTTAAAGTTATCTGTTGGGTTTTTCAACTGATGATGGGCAGTGTGACTGTCCTTACGCTAACAGACATGCGGACCAAAGTTAAACTTTCCTGGTGTGCTGAACCGTTTCTATGGAAGCAGACTGATTTCCCCCCACTTTGCCACAGAGGAGGGAACTTTCCCATAAGTGAATGGGAAGCTTTGAGAAGTATATTTCTAGAAAACTTAAAATGGATTACATTCTTATTATATAGTTGGGTACGAATGTATATTTTCATTGTGGTAAGAGTTCTTACTCTCCTTCCCTGGACATGTCCTTCTTCAAGTCCCCTCCCCCCCCCCGCCCCATGTTGTAAAATCAAATGTAAAATCATTAGAATACAAGTTTATGTATTCTAATGCATGTTAGAAAATTTGAATATATAGGAAACAAGACTGCATGAAGAAAAGTGCATTGTTACTGTGCAGTTAAATTTTGGCTTCTGGCTTCCTTTAGCTTGAACAACATCCTTGTCTGCCCTGATGGATAGTAATAGATGTCATCTCTGCAACAGAAACAGAATGGTGGTGGCGAATTTCTAGAATGTTTAAAAAAAACACACACACACCCATGTGCCTTTTCAAAACCAACTAAACTTCTATAAAGCATCTCTAGTTCTTTCAAAATTTGTGTTGTAAGCAGTGTAGGTGATGCTGTAGTACTTTACATTTTTTTGCCTATAATGACAGCTACCAATTCTTTTTCACTTAGATTGAAAAATTTCATTTAATGGCAGCTGAAGGGCCATTTTCAATTGGGAAAATTCATGTATATCTGTGGTAAACTTTATTTTGATAAAAAGTTGCACTAGTAATTTTACCACCAGATGAAAACAAGATGAGCATCATTTAAAAATTAATGTATTTAAAACAAAGTACAGAGAAAAACATGTATATAATATATCAGGCTTTGTTTTGAATGAATCTTTTCCCCCAATCCTTAATATAAAGATCTTGTGCTATAATTTTTAAAGCCATACAAATAAGAATGCTAAACTGTGGACTTAAAAGTAGGTGTGTAAATATTTTTAATCAGTATTACATGGAAAATAAAATATAACAACTACAGAAAATAAACCAATATGCTCTTTTCTTTACCTGTTAAATATTGGGAGATACTTATATTTTTAAAGTAAACTTTAAAATTAAAAAAAAAAAAAGAGGAGGATTCCCTCAGCAATAGGTATGTGGGAAGGACCCCGAGTTTGCTGCCTCAAGTGGAATATACAGCGAGAAGCCCTAACGTGAAAGGAGGCCGGATTTCCTTGCAGTGGCTTGAATACAGGCTCGTCTTTCATCTCACAACATGAAGGGATGTCTGAATCCCCTGTGGAGACCTTAGAGAAAGCCCTAGGTCCCTGCCTCATTTTGACGGAAGGCCTCACATCTCGTTGACACCTCGAGAGGCACGCGGAGTTCACTGCTTCAAAAGGTGAGGATGCCTGACTCCTCTTGAATACTGATAGGAATCCCAAAATCCCTGTGGCTACAGGAAAGGGTCCTTGGGGGCCCTGCCTCACCTCGAGAAGCGTCCCTTTTGCCTGGCCAAGCCTCGAAGAGATTCGTGAGGTGTCCCTCGTTACTAGACAGGAGTCCTGACGTCACTGAATAAACACGTGTTTTGAAGGGCCATCCCCGCCGTAACTCGAGAACATACCCCAGGTCCCCGCCGCAACTCGAGAAAAACCATGAGACTTCACCTTAGATGCGATATGAGGCCCGATTCCACTGCATTGCTTGCAGAGCAATTCCGTGATCCCCATTAAACAAGTCAGGAGCTTCGACTTGCTTAATGGATCTCGAGAGAGTCCCCAAGTACACTGTCACAAGTCTAGACGGATCCTGAGGTCACCCCAGCAACGCACAGCAGCTCCATGTGCCCCAAATCAACTCGAGATGAGGCCCGATTCCCCTGCATTGACTCCAGAGCCATCCCCCGTTCCACATTCAACACGACCAGTCGCTTGACTTCCTTCAGGAACTCCAGAGATGCCCAGAGAACACTGTTCCAAGTCTAGAGGAACACCAACTTCAGCACAGCAACTCGAGGAATGCTCCGTGTACCCCAAATCGTCTCGAGATGAGAGCTGATTTCCTGGCTTTGGCTCAAGACGTATGCCAACTCTCCAGAAGCACCTCAAGAGTAGGCTTCTCTCAGAAATAGGTGTGTGTGACGGACCCCGAGGTTGCTGCCTCAAGGGGAATATACAGCGAGAAGCCCTAACTTGAAAGGAGGCCGGATTTCCTTGCAGTGGCTTGAATACAGGCTCATCTTTCATCTCACAACATGAAAGGATGTCTGAATCCCTTGTGGAGACCTTAGAGAAAGCTCTAGGCCCGTGCCTCATTTTGACGGAATGCCTCACATCCCGTTGACACCTCGAGAGGCAGGCGGAGTTCACTGCTTCAAAAGGTGACGATGCCTGACTCCTCTTGAATACTGATAGGAATCCCAAAATCCCTGTGGCTACTGGAAAGGGTCCTTGGGTGCCCTGCCTCACCTCGAGAAGCATCGCTTTTGCCCTGGCAAGCCTCGAAGAGATTCCGGAGGTGTCCCTCGTTACTAGACAGGAGTCCTGACGTCAGTGAATAAACACGTATTTTGAAGGGCCATCCCCGCCCTAACTCGAGAACATACCCAAGTTCCCTGCCGCAAATCGAGAAAAACCTTGAGACTTCCCCCTAGAGGCGAGATGAGGCCCCATTCCCCTGCAGTGCATGCAGAGCTATTCCGTGATCCCCATCAAACAAGTCAGGAGCTTCGACTTGCTTAATGGATCTCGAGACAGTCCCCAAGTACACTGTCACAAGTCTACACGGACCCTGAGGTCACCCCAGCAACGCACAGCAGCTCCACGTGCCCCAAATCAACTCGAGATGAGGCCCGATTCCCCTGCCTTGACTCCAGAGCCATCCCCCGTTCCCCATTCAACACGACCAGTGGCTTGACTTCCTTCAGGTAACTCCAGAGATGCCCCGAGAACACTGTCCCAAGTCTAGAGGAACACCAACTTCAGCACAGCAACTCGAGGAATGCTCCGTGTACCCCAAATCGTCTCGAGATGAGAGCTGATTCCCTGGCTTAGTATCAAGACGTATGCCAACTCTCCAGAAGCACCTCAAGAGGAGGCCTCTCGTTCCCTGCGTGAGTGCCGGCCCGGTCGGGTCGGGGGAGAGGAGGGAGGGCGGGGGAGGGAGAGGCGACCCGGGAGTCGTTGTGGGCCGTGGGCCGGACCTGGTCCCGGGAAGGCGGGATCCAGGGCCGGGCCGAGGGGCTTGGCGGGCCGTTAGCGGGCCGCGCCGGCTGTAGGGTCTCCTCCCCTGCCGGACTTGCGCGCCCCGGCGCTAGGAGCGTCCGGTGCTGTGCCCACCCCGCTCCAGCTCGCGTCTCCTGACTCCAGTTAGGTCAGGCTCGGAGTCCCGTGGCCGCGGCTCTGGCCCCCAACGCGCGGCGGCCGCCCGGCTCGCCTTTCTTTCTTCCCTCGCCTTCCTCTCCTCTTGCCTCACCCTCCCCCTTTCTTTCACGTTGCTGGGGTTTTGCTTTTTTTGTTGTTATTTTGTGCTTTAGGGGTTTTGTTCCTCAGCCCGAGCTCATGGGTGTACATTATCATGCTCCTCTTTTGTAGAGCAACCGGACGGCCATGGAGGCCGAAGAGACGATGGAATGCCTTCAGGAGTTCCCTGAACATCATAAAATGATCCTGGACCGATTGAATGAACAGCGAGAGCAGGACCGGTTTACTGACATCACCCTGATTGTCGACGGACACCATTTTAAGGCCCACAAGGCTGTTTTGGCTGCTTGCAGCAAGTTCTTCTATAAATTCTTTCAGGAGTTTACTCAGGAACCTTTGGTGGAGATAGAAGGTGTTAGTAAAATGGCCTTTCGTCGTTTGATTGAGTTCACATATACAGCAAAGTTAATGATACAAGGAGAAGAAGAAGCCAATGATGTATGGAAATCAGCAGAGTTTCTACAGATGCTAGAAGCTATCAAAGCCCTTGAAGTCAGAAACAAAGAAAACTCAGCTCCACTAGAGGAAAATACCACAGGGAAAAATGAAGCAAAAAAAGAAAGATTGCAGAAACTTCAAATGTTATCACTGAGTCATTGCCATCTGCAGAATCTGAACCTTTTGAAATTGAGGTGGAGATTGCCGAAGGCACAATCGAAGTGGAAGATGAAGGCATCGAAACGTTGGAGGAAGTGGCTTCTGCCAAGCAGTCCATAAAGTACATTCAGAGCACAGGTTCCTCTGATGATTCCGCTCTGGCATTGTTGGCAGATATTACCAGCAAGTACCGCCAAGGCGATAGAAAAGGGCAGATTAAAGATGAAGACGGCTGTGCATCTGACCCCACAAGCAAACAGGTAGAAGGAACACATGAAATCACACTCCACTGAGAGTTTCAAGTGTGAAATATGCAATAAAATGTATCTTCGGGAGAGCGCGTGGAAACAGCACCTCAGTTGTTACCACCTGGAAGAAGGTGGAGTCAGTAAGAAGCAGAGAACTGGGAAAAAAATACACATATGTCAGTACTGTGAGAAGCAGTTTGACCACTTTGGACATTTTAAAGAGCATCTTCGAAAACATACAGGTGAAAAACCTTTTGAATGTCCAAATTGTCATGAACGATTTGCTAGAAATAGTAGCCTCAAATGTCACTTGACTGCATGCCAAACTGGAGTGGGAGCAAAAAAGGGGAGAAAGAAGCTCTATGAATGTCAGGTCTGTAATAGTGTGTTTCACAGCTGGGACCAGTTCAAAGATCACCTGGTGATACACACTGGAGATAAACCCAACCATTGTACTCTGTGTGACTTGTGGTTTATGCAAGGAAATGAATTAAGGAGGCATCTCAGTGATACTCATAATATTTCAGAGCGCCTGGTAACTGAAGAAGTTCTTTCAGTAGAAACACGTGTGCAAACTGAACCTGTGACGTCAATGACTATTATAGAACAAGTTGGGAAGGTGCATGTGTTACCACTGCTCCAGGTTCAGGTGGACTCAGCACAAGTGACTGTGGAACAGGTCCATCCAGATCTGCTCCAGGACAGCCAAGTGCACGAGTCGCACATAAGTGAGCTTCCAGAGCAGGTCCAGGTAAGTTATCTAGAAGTGGGGCGAATTCAGACTGAAGAAGGTACTGAAGTCCATGTAGAGGAGCTGCATGTTGAACGGGTAAATCAGATGCCAGTGGAAGTACAAACTGAGCTTCTAGAAGCAGACTTGGATCAAGTGACCCCTGAAATCATGAACCAAGAGGAGAGAGAGCCTACCCAGGCAGATGCTGCTGAGGCTGCTACAGAAGAACACGAAGATGCTGAGGCTTTAGAGACCAAATCAACAGTGGATTCCCAAGCCGAAAAGGCAGGAAATGAGAACAGAACACCTATGCCAGTTTTAGAATGAAATAACAAATGCATATATTTTTAAAGTTATCTGTTGGGTTTTTCAACTGATGATGGGCAGTGTGACTGTCCTTACGCTAACAGACATGCGGACCAAAGTTAAACTTTCCTGGTGTGCTGAACCGTTTCTATGGAAGCAGACTGATTTCCCCCCACTTTGCCACAGAGGAGGGAACTTTCCCATAAGTGAATGGGAAGCTTTGAGAAGTATATTTCTAGAAAACTTAAAATGGATTACATTCTTATTATATAGTTGGGTACGAATGTATATTTTCATTGTGGTAAGAGTTCTTACTCTCCTTCCCTGGACATGTCCTTCTTCAAGTCCCCTCCCCCCCCCCGCCCCATGTTGTAAAATCAAATGTAAAATCATTAGAATACAAGTTTATGTATTCTAATGCATGTTAGAAAATTTGAATATATAGGAAACAAGACTGCATGAAGAAAAGTGCATTGTTACTGTGCAGTTAAATTTTGGCTTCTGGCTTCCTTTAGCTTGAACAACATCCTTGTCTGCCCTGATGGATAGTAATAGATGTCATCTCTGCAACAGAAACAGAATGGTGGTGGCGAATTTCTAGAATGTTTAAAAAAAACACACACACACCCATGTGCCTTTTCAAAACCAACTAAACTTCTATAAAGCATCTCTAGTTCTTTCAAAATTTGTGTTGTAAGCAGTGTAGGTGATGCTGTAGTACTTTACATTTTTTTGCCTATAATGACAGCTACCAATTCTTTTTCACTTAGATTGAAAAATTTCATTTAATGGCAGCTGAAGGGCCATTTTCAATTGGGAAAATTCATGTATATCTGTGGTAAACTTTATTTTGATAAAAAGTTGCACTAGTAATTTTACCACCAGATGAAAACAAGATGAGCATCATTTAAAAATTAATGTATTTAAAACAAAGTACAGAGAAAAACATGTATATAATATATCAGGCTTTGTTTTGAATGAATCTTTTCCCCCAATCCTTAATATAAAGATCTTGTGCTATAATTTTTAAAGCCATACAAATAAGAATGCTAAACTGTGGACTTAAAAGTAGGTGTGTAAATATTTTTAATCAGTATTACATGGAAAATAAAATATAACAACTACAGAAAATAAACCAATATGCTCTTTTCTTTACCTGTTAAATATTGGGAGATACTTATATTTTTAAAGTAAACTTTAAAATTAAAAAAAAAAAAAGAGGAGGATTCCCTCAGCAATAGGTATGTGGGAAGGACCCCGAGTTTGCTGCCTCAAGTGGAATATACAGCGAGAAGCCCTAACGTGAAAGGAGGCCGGATTTCCTTGCAGTGGCTTGAATACAGGCTCGTCTTTCATCTCACAACATGAAGGGATGTCTGAATCCCCTGTGGAGACCTTAGAGAAAGCCCTAGGTCCCTGCCTCATTTTGACGGAAGGCCTCACATCTCGTTGACACCTCGAGAGGCACGCGGAGTTCACTGCTTCAAAAGGTGAGGATGCCTGACTCCTCTTGAATACTGATAGGAATCCCAAAATCCCTGTGGCTACAGGAAAGGGTCCTTGGGGGCCCTGCCTCACCTCGAGAAGCGTCCCTTTTGCCTGGCCAAGCCTCGAAGAGATTCGTGAGGTGTCCCTCGTTACTAGACAGGAGTCCTGACGTCACTGAATAAACACGTGTTTTGAAGGGCCATCCCCGCCGTAACTCGAGAACATACCCCAGGTCCCCGCCGCAACTCGAGAAAAACCATGAGACTTCACCTTAGATGCGATATGAGGCCCGATTCCACTGCATTGCTTGCAGAGCAATTCCGTGATCCCCATTAAACAAGTCAGGAGCTTCGACTTGCTTAATGGATCTCGAGAGAGTCCCCAAGTACACTGTCACAAGTCTAGACGGATCCTGAGGTCACCCCAGCAACGCACAGCAGCTCCATGTGCCCCAAATCAACTCGAGATGAGGCCCGATTCCCCTGCATTGACTCCAGAGCCATCCCCCGTTCCACATTCAACACGACCAGTCGCTTGACTTCCTTCAGGAACTCCAGAGATGCCCAGAGAACACTGTTCCAAGTCTAGAGGAACACCAACTTCAGCACAGCAACTCGAGGAATGCTCCATGTACCCCAAATCGTCTCGAGATGAGAGCTGATTTCCTGGCTTTGGCTCAAGACGTATGCCAACTCTCCAGAAGCACCTCAAGAGTAGGCTTCTCTCAGAAATAGGTGTGTGTGACGGACCCCGAGTTTGCTGCCTCAAGGGGAATATACAGCGAGAAGCCCTAACTTGAAAGGAGGCCGGATTTCCTTGCAGTGGCTTGAATACAGGCTCATCTTTCATCTCACAACATGAAAGGATGTCTGAATCCCTTGTGGAGACCTTAGAGAAAGCTCTAGGCCCGTGCCTCATTTTGACGGAATGCCTCACATCCCGTTGACACCTCGAGAGGCAGGCGGAGTTCACTGCTTCAAAAGGTGACGATGCCTGACTCCTCTTGAATACTGATAGGAATCCCAAAATCCCTGTGGCTACTGGAAAGGGTCCTTGGGTGCCCTGCCTCACCTCGAGAAGCATCGCTTTTGCCCTGGCAAGCCTCGAAGAGATTCCGGAGGTGTCCCTCGTTACTAGACAGGAGTCCTGACGTCAGTGAATAAACACGTATTTTGAAGGGCCATCCCCGCCCTAACTCGAGAACATACCCAAGTTCCCTGCCGCAAATCGAGAAAAACCTTGAGACTTCCCCCTAGAGGCGAGATGAGGCCCCATTCCCCTGCAGTGCATGCAGAGCTATTCCGTGATCCCCATCAAACAAGTCAGGAGCTTCGACTTGCTTAATGGATCTCGAGACAGTCCCCAAGTACACTGTCACAAGTCTACACGGACCCTGAGGTCACCCCAGCAACGCACAGCAGCTCCACGTGCCCCAAATCAACTCGAGATGAGGCCCGATTCCCCTGCCTTGACTCCAGAGCCATCCCCCGTTCCCCATTCAACACGACCAGTGGCTTGACTTCCTTCAGGTAACTCCAGAGATGCCCCGAGAACACTGTCCCAAGTCTAGAGGAACACCAACTTCAGCACAGCAACTCGAGGAATGCTCCGTGTACCCCAAATCGTCTCGAGATGAGAGCTGATTCCCTGGCTTAGTATCAAGACGTATGCCAACTCTCCAGAAGCACCTCAAGAGGAGGCCTCTCGTTCCCTGCGTGAGTGCCGGCCCGGTCGGGTCGGGGGAGAGGAGGGAGGGCGGGGGAGGGAGAGGCGACCCGGGAGTCGTTGTGGGCCGTGGGCCGGACCTGGTCCCGGGAAGGCGGGAGCCAGGGCCGGGCCGAGGGGCTTGGC